GGCCAGCGGAGAGTGGAGCCCCTGGGACGGGCCGGACAGAGGCGCGGGGCAGCGCGGATTCCAGGCCGCTCTGCAGGTCAACCGGTCCGCGCCCCCCCGGCCTGCGCTCCGCGTGCAGATCTGGAGCAAGGCGGCCATTGGTGAGGCTCGGGGCGGGGCCGCGGCTCTTTCCCTGGTCGGTCCGGTCCGCTTCAGCTGTCCCCGCGTGTCCCTGCGCGTCCCCTGCCGGCCCCGCGCTTCCCCTCGCGTCCCCAGCACCTCAGCACAGGCGCCACTGCCGAGTGTTCGTGCCGATACCCTTCCGGGCAGTTAGTGCTCAGGCGCGGGTCAGTCAGACACACCCGGGAAACGTGCATGAGCCGGTTTGCGCGCAGCCTTTGCCCAGAGCCGGTAACAGGCAGCGCCGGGAGCTGGCCCAAGGAGGCCCGTGCGGGGTGACCAGGGCTGGCGCCCACGAAGGCGTTCTTGCTCCAGCGTGAGGACATTCTGCGAATCCGCATACTGTGTCCAGCTAGAGCAGGGGCCTCACGGAAGGTCAGGCGTGTCCGAGCACGTAGTGAGCTGAAAGGAGACTTAGTGGGCCTTCTCGCTGGACTCGGATGTCACAGTGGGTGCCAGGCGCCAGGGGTCTAGAGGCGAAAGTCCGGGTAAGCCAGCATGGCGCGTGGCGGGCGCTTCGGAATTCATCGGTTTCCTGAGTAAGCCAGCCGCCCCAGGAGCCCTGCGGGCCGCTGCATCGGGATGCCCAGACTCGCGGCTCCAGTTACGGTTCCAGCATTTGCTTCCAGCACTTTCTCTCTAAAGTATCTGGCGTTAATTTCTTCCCGTCAAGCCTACTTCCCCGGTGAATTACACCTGTCTGCAGTCTTTCACGTCACTGTATTTTGTGACCCGGATGGTGGCGTGGCAGGCGGGTTTCACAAACACGGCTTTCACCTGCTCCCAGGCCGTGATGGCTCTCCGTTGCGGACCGTCCCCTTCGGAAGGGAGAAGTTGCGATTCCTGGCTCAAGTCATCCCGCAGCCCCACCAAGCAAGCAGTTAGTCCAAGGCCTTGAACGAGACCCGCGGCTCGGGCTCAGCCAGGGTGCCACAGGGTGGCAGCCTGGGGTCTCACCAGCCTCTCGCCTGCGGGCAGTGTTCTGAGACCCAGCAGCCTTCTTTCACCCCAAGTCTTCTGCCTTAGGCTCCACGCGAGCCGGGCGCCTGCTGAGTGACGCTCCCCGGTCCCAGCGCCCACGGTAGGCCACGGGGCTCCCCCACAGGGGCCCCTCCGCAGGCCGTCCCCACCTCTCTTGCTGCTGCCGAGAGAGCTAAGCCACGCAGAGCTCACACGTCTTCCAAGCACCCTCGCGTAGCTGCGTGTTGCGACCTTGGGCCTTAGTGACCGAAGGCCCACCGCGGCCTGGTCTCCCCCGAGCTGCCTTCCTGACGGTGCCTCCTAGCATTCGCCTCCAGCAGCTGAACGGGACAAGGACTTCCGAGTCTCTAGGTCCTGGCTCTGTCTGGCGTAACGGCCCCCGGGTTCTAGAGACCACATCTTTAGGTATCTTGGACGAGGGGTCCGCCTGGTGACCTGCCGCGTTTGGGAAACCACTGGCTGATGGCGCCTCTGCTCGTGGGGTTTCGTGTGTGTCCCGCAGCGCCGCGTGATGAGAGCAGCACAAAGCACATAGGGAATGGCGCACCTTCTGCCTCTGAGCTCGGCGCAGGCAACGTCCCCGTGAGCCTCCGGCTCCCTTGAGGAGAAAGCTGCAGTGGCTGCTTGCAGAGCCCGTCACGGGCTGTGCGCACCGGCAGCTCGCCTGGGCGGAGCCGCGGTCGCAGAGGAGAGTGGAGCTCCCCTGCCGAGGCAGCCGCGAGGCAGATGACAGGCGGTGGGGCGCGGCGAGAGCCAGGGGTCCTGACGCCCCGGCGCGGCCGCGGCGGGCCCCTGGTCACACGTGCACGTGGCCAGGCCGGCGGTCAGCGTCTGTCTGTTTCTCCCCAGGCCTGTACCTCTGGGAGCACGTGCTGGGAGGCCCGCTTGACCCGGCCGACGCGAAGGCTCAGTGGAGAGAGGGCGAGTTGGTTGTAGGAAGAACACACTACAGGTACCTGCTGCGCGTTTCTGTACCAAGTCACGGAAATCCCGGGAGGAAACTGTGCCAAGTAGGGCCCCAGGGCCGCCTCCCCGGGGGAGAGCGGATGCGCGCGGGCCGCGGGCACTGCCAGCCGGATGCAGCCGCTGTTCGAGTCGTGTCTCTGCAGGAAGTGTGAGCAGAGGATCTGGGTTGCGCTCATGTTCCGCTTTTCCCCACAAAAGGCAAGAGGGAAAGCGCACAGGAGCTTGCGCCGTCCTAAGCGCGACTCGCTGGCTTTGGGCGTTTGGGAGCAAAAGCGTCATGCGCACATCACACTGTCGCCCGGCAGGCAGGGCACACACGCATCTGGGCAGCGGGCTCATCGTGCTCGCCCTAACGTGTGGAGTTTTCTGAGTGATCCCCAGAGTGGCGGAGGACTTCGCACCTGGTGTGGTTTCGTGGCATCAGAAGATTCGAGCAAACAGCAGTGACCCCAAGGCCGCCTCACGAGCCGCTTCTGAAGTGTTTGCCCGAGAGTTTGAGTCGTGGTCAAATGGGAATACTCCTCTCTGACAGCCACGGCAGCGGTGCCCGGGGGTCCTCGCTGCACAGGGCTGTCTGGACAGGCCGCGGAGGCGCGCGAAAGTGGCTGCACGACGTACGCAGGGTGCGCGGGCTTCAGCGAG